GAAGTGTTTGGTGACCGTGTGGCTGATTGTGACGGTGCCATAGCCGGTAAGCGACCACCGCTTCTCGCACGCACACAGTCACCCGATTGCCCATCCATATATCCGGTATCTAACACATCCCAGTTCCTGCCCAGTCCAGCTTTGGTTTCGACCGCCGCCCACCCCCCGCCTCTTCTGCCGGTTTCGGTGGAAGCAGTTTCAATGGTACGGCCTGTTCACCCTGTGTGGAAGTTTGGAGGATGTATACATATATATATATATATATTAACTGGTGAAAAGACCGCGGCTTTGCGATGAGGGAGCCCCTTCCCCTTCCTTCCGAGCCTCCATATACCGCCCATATTGGAAACCTGTCTTTCGATGCGACCTCTGCTGATATCTCCGACCTTTTCGTCGACTGCGGTGTGACCAACGTTCGTGTTGTGGAGGACAAGTTGACAAAGGCCCCTAAGGGCTTCGGTTATGTCGAATTCGAGACTGTTGACGGTCTGAAGAAAGCCCTCGATCTGTCTGGGGCTACTCTCCAGGGAAGAGCCATCCGTGTCAGCATCGCGGAGCCTCGTACGTCCATCAACCGCAGTCTATATTGGTCTCAGAACGAAAAGAAAGGAAAACTAACTCAGTACAGCCAAGGAACGTGACGTGAAGGAACTCGACTGGACTCGTCGCGGCCCTCTCCCAGAGCCCCCTCAGCGCCGTGTTCCCGACCGCGCTTCATTTGGACGCAACCTCGACACCCTTTCCGACGCCGGCAGCGAGCCTCGTCGTCGTGGAAACTTCGAAAGTGACGGCAAAGTCCGCGATTTTTCCAACTGGGAACGTAAGGGTCCTCTTTCTCCCCCACCCATGAGGGAAGGCGGCCGTCCTCGCAACAATGAGGGACCCGGCTTCCGAAGAAGTTCGCCTGCGTGGGGCGAAGGCCGCTCCCAGGATGGATCGCGACCTCCTCGACGCGAATTCCAAGAACGCGCTCCCACCGCTGCTGAACTCGATAACCAGTGGAGAGCTAGAATGAAGCCCGACCCTTCGCCCAAGGAGCCCAGCAACCCACCTTCCCCTGCCCCCGCCGCCGCTACACCTGCTGCGCCCGTTCCGCCCGCTCCCGCCACAAGGCCCAAGCTGAACCTTCAGAAGCGGACCGTGACGGAGGCCGTCGCAAGCCCCACAGCCGAAGCAAAGTCCAGCATTTTCGGCGGCGCCAAACCCATTGATACTGCTGCCAGAGAGAAGGAGGTCGAGCAAAAACGTCAACTGGCCCTGCGCCAGAAGAAGGAGGCGGATGAAAAGGCCAAAGCCGAGAAGGCTGAGAAGCAGAAAGCCGCCAAAGAGGCGACAAAGTCTGAGAAGCCTGTATCCACGTTGGACCCCAACGGCAGGGACACGGCTGAGACCCCCCAAGGCGCGAAGAACTTTGAGATCCTCCGGCGGGCCGGTGAGGATGAGAGCGGTATGACTGCCGATCAGGACCAGGAGCAGGCTGAGACTGAAGCCGCTGCTTCGACCGAGACGAAGGCCGCCGCCGCTGATAAGGCAAATGGTTCCTGGAGGGCTGCACCCACATCAACCGAGCTTGCCGCCGATGACGAAGGTTGGAGCACTGTTGGCTCACGGCAGCGCAACAACCGCCGTGGTGGCCGTAACGTTGCATAGATTCATGGATACCCCCTCTCCTCTCTTTGAACCACCGTCACTCGACCAGACCATCACGCTATCTGCAGAGAACATGGGATGCAGACGCCCAAGACGACCTCCAGGATGCGAATGATTTACTCGCTCTGTACTCGCTCTTTGCACCACTGAGATGTCTTTTGGTTACGTTTGATAGCCATTTGTCTCTCATTTTACCTCCATCATACCTTTCGCCTTCTTATTCTTACCTTTTCCCTCTTGAGATTTTTTCTCGTTTGTTTCTTTTCCTCTCGCAGGCTAGATCCATGATGTTTACGTCTAGTCATCTGTACCGTTGTTACCCCTGTCGAAAAGTTTTTTTCTTCCGCCTCTTCATCTTCCCTTCTTGTTTTCGGCTCAGTCTCCCTCGGGTAGCTTGTTATGTACGGACCGCAGATGTGGAGGAGAAAGCTATGTAATCCTGTGTTTCTTCGCCTCTCCCCTCAATGCGTGTCTTGACTGGGTCCTAGTGGGCGTGTGGAGTCTCTTTCTTGTTCTTTATCAGATGTCACTTTATGAGACAGCCATGCGAATAGGATTTATGACTCAACGCGATGCGTAAGAGAATGAAAGGATATGAATGTTAATTGACTTGCTACTGTACCACTGTACCCAGTCTCCCGTAGCTGTGTGTGATATCATCAAGGCATGCACCTCTCCGAACTCCCGAGTCGTCACAGCCCATCAGCAGTGACCCCTCTACCTATGGGCTCAGTCAGGATGATCACAGTCAGGATGATCATCCTAATGCCAAGATCCCAGTTCGCGGATCGGAGCAGCTGGATCGAGGGGAAATCATTAATATGATTGGGCTTGGAAGCAGGTTACCTATTATTTCCACTTTTTCATTTCCTCCAGCTGCAACCCTTCCTCGCCAGTCAGGTAGCAAGCAACCACCAGCCAGCCACGTCTCAGAAACAAAAAAAGAAAAGAGTCCTGAGGTCCCCGAGGGAGCTGACCATGTTCCCCGCCAGTGTCTTCTCTTCACTTCTATATATCCTCCCTTCGCATCCTTCAACCACATCCATCGCCATCGGTACTCTTCTCACCGTCGAATCCAGCCACCATGACAGTCCCACCCCAGACTAATGGAAATGGTTGTTGCCGGTCATTTCAGCAAGATGTATACAAGAGCCGTGATAATATTCCCTGGAAGCTCGAGTTTCGCTCATCCAAGGGATTTGTCACTTCGGTTGTCGCAATTGCTATCTTTACGGTGTGTGCTATGTTCTCTGGGTATTATTTCTGCAGCTACTAACCCTTCGGACTCGGGATGATAGGATGTATTTATATTTGGCATGGTATGTGTTCGAACTTTCCGCGTCTCTCGTTGATATCTTTTCCCGTTCCTTCTCCCTCTAACACCAGCAGATCATCCCCATACTCCCAGAGGTCCTCAAAACTCGAGTCTCTACCCCCGAGGACGAGCGTACGTACCTGAACTCCCCATCACAGTCCAAAACTGACAGACCCAACCATAGTCCAAAAATGGATGTCCATCCTCCTCGCAGCCTTCGGTGGCGCTCTGTTCATCAGCTCCCGTGAGTCTCTAGCTCTCTCATCGCTCTCCCGCATCATCACAGAGCCCTATGCTAAATATTACTTCATAGCTATATTCGGCTATTTCGCCGACAAGAGCTCCTCGCGCCAAGCCCCTTTTCTAATCGGCTTGCTCGCACTCGGCGGCTCAACCGTGATGTTCTGGTTCGCGCACACGCTCTCTGCATTGGTGGTTGCGCGGCTCCTGCAGGGCATTTCGGCTGCTGTTGTATGGACGGTTGGCATGGCGTTGGTTGTTGATACGGTCGGGAAGGAGGAAGTCGGGGCTTCGATGGGCATTGTCTCGATGGCGATGACTGTTGGTACGGTTTCTGGGCCGTTTATCGGAGGCTTCATGTGAGTTTACATTTTTCTTTCCTGTTTATCGGTGTATTGAAAGAAAGGAACCCTTGCGGGAGGTCTGATTAAAGGGAAGCTAACTGGGTCTCTGGCTTTTAGGTTGTCTAAAGCGGGATACCATGCGGTCTTTGAGACGGCCATCGGGCTTATCGTCCTGGACATTGCGCTTCGGTTGGTTATGATTGAGAAGAAGACTGCCGCCAAGTGGATTTCTTCTGCTGCTACGGCGGAGGAAACGGAGAGACTTATAGATCCGGCTGCAGAAAGCCAGTCCGGATATGAGAATGGCAACGGCACCCTACATCGTAACGGAAGTTGTTCATCAAACGAGGGAGAGGGAGATGCAGAGCCCACGATCCGTTCCAAACGGTCAGCTATACCAGGAATAGTACACTTGCTGGGCTCTTTCTCGCTGCTCATAGTCCTCGTAGCCACCTTTGTCGAAGCAGCAATATACTCCTCTTTTGACGCGGTACTCCCCACCCACACTCTCACCCTCCATCTAGCCGCTTAAATCTCTGCATGCGATACAGAATTCGCTAACTAAGGATGAAAAAACACAGGTCCTCCCCCTCTACGCCATGTCCACTTTCAACATGACGCCCCTAGGAATAGGCCTCTGCTTCGTCCCGCTCTTCTTCCCCTCCTTCTTCTCCCCGCTAGTCGGTGCCCTCGTCGACCGCCACGGCAGCCGCAAGATCTCCATAGCGGGCTTCGCCCTCGCCCTCCCCGTCAACCTGCTGCTGCAACTCGTGAAGGAAAACACAACCGCCGACAAAATCACGCTGTACGCCCTCCTCTTCTGCGCCGGAGTCGGCGCCTCCCTCATGACTGTTTCGCTCATGGTCGAGGTGAGCCAGATCGTGGAGGAGAAGGAGCGGGAGTGTCCCGGCATCTTTGGGAAGCAGGGTGGCACGGCGCAGGCTTATGGGTTGTGGAATGTGGCATGGTCGGGGGGCCAGGTTGCGGGGCCGCTGGTGGCTGGCTGGTTGGCTGGGAAATTTGGGTGGGGAGTTATGGTTTCTGTTATGGGGGGTGTGAGTGGGATTACGGCTGCTGTTTTGGTGCTCCAGAGTCAGGGCCTTGCAAGGGGTTTTGGGGTCAAGGACTCAAGGAGGTATTAGGAAGGGGGTAGGCACTGAGGCAGTATTTGAGGTATAGGAGAGTTTATGAGGCTTTCAATAATTGGAGTGGAGCGGAGCGTCTCAGCCTCCAGGTATCGATCTCTCTCTTCGGCCATGTTATATATGGAGACAAAAAAGCATATAGTAATTCAACTAATACATATATTTATTTATGTATATGTATGTATGTGTGTGTTCACCTCCTTATGACAGACAGACGCAGCCACAACCTTATTTGAAATGGATAAAGAAAGTAAAATAGAGAGTCCTGCCCCCGGACGGGCTGGAAAAGTAAAAATAAAAATGAACGGCCCGAACTGGGATTCGAACCCAGGGCCTCTCGCATTCAGGATTGGGTAGCCCAAAGCGAGAATCATACCTCTAGACCATCCGGGCTGCTGCTGAAATTACAGGTTGGACTCTTTACCCTAGATACTTTGGCTTTATTACTGCTGTTATCTGGTGGGCACCCGGGCAACACTCTTTACCGCATGCTATCTATCTACAAGTACCTTGTCACAGTTCACAAAGCACGGGAATTGTGTATGCTAACACTTTCAAGCCTACTACCTAAGCTTATTGTTAGGTATATGTTCCTGGTCCTGGACTTTGATGGTGTACATAGGTAGGAACCTTAGTGCTGAAGTCTACTTGGCCTCAGCTTAACGGCCAGTAGATCATTTATAAAGTGAAGGTGTGAACAGTAACATAATTTAGATGTTAGTAGTTAAAGTGGGACTGCTTCTTGTTTCATTTTTATTCACTCTTAGCTATTGCCTGCATGTTTCCACCTATTACACCCATGCTAAATTATAAAATATAAAGGGTCCTGTGACTATCTCCCTTTTCTTTAATTTCTCTAGTCTACTCCATACTTTATCTGTCAAGTGCAGTACAAATCCACCATGTTGGTATTTTCTTTATCTTTCTTATATAAAGTTGCTATATAGCAGCTTTGAGTCCCTTGAAAGGGTCATTGGTGGCCTCTCAGCTATTATTCAGAACGGAATACGTACCAGTAAGGTAATTTTAAGGCAAAGGCGCAGGCAGAGAGTTGCCAAGCCTGGCAGAATGCACCTGCCCCGGTTTCCACATCCTATACCTTCCAGGTTCTCACTACTGACTGATCTCACTCCTCCTTTATTTCTCCGGTTGAAACGGCCTGGATAAACCTTACCATTTTACTTATGCTATGTTATTCCAGCTTCTTCATGTAAATCTTTATGAATGGCGGTCCCTGATACGTCAGACTTCGAGCTACGATTTCGTTTTGGACCTCTCTCACATTCCGCTGACCAGCAGTCTCAGTCAACACAATTGACTCCAGCAGAGTACACCCGGGCTAAGGAAATCTTTGATGCCATCTTAGGCGCTCTTGAGGAATCAAGCTCTTTTGACAAGGGAGCATATTTACATCGGAAAGTTCGATCTCCTGATCAGGACAGATACCGGCCACTTGAACTGATACGCCACACACTCGACCATGTGCATATGTCTTCTCAAGGTTCCTTCCTTGAATTGTTCTTCGCATCAATTTCACTCTATTTCAAGCGTGATGATTCAGACATTTCTGAGTGCATTGGTTACCTAGAAGACTTCAGGGAATCTGAGACAAAGTTCGATAAGCTTAAGACGGCAATACCTAAGTTTGCACACTCTCTTGTGGAAAACTTCTTTATCCCGTGTATGCTGTGGTGACCCTTCTAAACAGTATGAAACTTACTCTTTTTAGTGATGGCTTCAGGGGGAAAGACCCGACAACCCACGCCCGCAGATGAGCCTCTCCACGCAGACTCGGAGGAGGCTGCTCGTGTTACGGCAGCACGCCTGAGCAGTTTACGGCGGGACTGTCTTAAGCGTGATGGATATCGTTGTGTCATAACTGGAACTATTGACGATGACCACGTTAAATCATTCACAGGCGAACACGGCGAGTCGGTTTTCAAGGATCCCTATGGAAACCCTGTGAGCTTGGAAGAAAACCGGGCAAGTGAGGTTTTAGAGGTGGCACATATCATCCCCCATTCTCTCTTGGCAGGAAGATTAGTCGATGGGGACACAGTGCTGGTATGTTACAGCATTAAATGTGACAGTTGGCTGTTTATTAATATTACTTCTAGGTGAAACCAAAGCGCATGGCTTACCAGATTCTCCGCATGTTTGATCCTGACGTTGTCGGTTCTATCAACGGTGTCGGGATTGACCGGCCATTCAATGCGATGACATTAACCCACCGCTGTCATACGCTTTTTGGGAAGTTCAAGATCGTATTCGATGAGATGGGAGGCCAGGAATATAAGATACATACGGCTAATAAGAAAAATGATAAGATGGAGCCGGTGGTGCGGACACTGGTTGCTCGCGACGGGGTAGAGCCAGTCGCTCGTGGTCTTCTGGCCATCCACAGGGCAATTGCAACCATCCTTCATCTCTCTGCCGCTGGTGAATATATTGAGAAGCTGATCCGTGATAATGAAGATATGGAAGGTGGAGGTGTCCTATCGCCAAACGGATCAACATCTATTGGCGATTATATCTACTGGAAACTCTGTGGGAGCCAGGGGGGCATAATTGAGATGTCACACGTTTCTTGACCTTGTGATTGTCACCATTCGCTTTGTATCTTTTATTCTTACTCTGTCGCTTGGCTTTCAGTGTGCTTGCCATGCACAGCTAGGTCTGTTTATAGGGTAATGTTACATCATTCTTCATAGGTTCGTGTCCCTGCCGGGTACATAGACTACTACACATGGGCCATGTTGTGTATGTGAGTTGGGGATTACCTACATATGCGTCAGGATGGCCATCAAACTTATGTAATAACGGCAGTAATAATTAATGTTCCGAGCTTTCCCCAACTGTAATACTTGTTTAGCTAGCTAAGCAACCGCGCGGATAGTTGGAAGACCCTGAAGTAAGAGCTACGGTAGGTAGATTTAACCACACCAGCAATTCTCTACGAAGACTATCACGATCCAGATATCCGAGATCTCAGGATGATCCCCAGCCCTGATCTGCAAATCCTGGAAATCTGGAAATGATCCCCTGGTTTATTTTTGCCGCGCGGCTGTATACTATAATTAGTGATGTTACCTAGGGACCGTATCCCCTAGGTACTAGTCTGGTGCCCCCATTGTTACACCCTTCCACCCTTAAATAATAAATATAATCCCTTCTCTCCTCCTGTTCTCGTTGCTGAGTCTCAACATTTATTCTTATTCCCCTTGCTCTTACTCTTAATCTTAACCCTATGGCTCGACGATGGCAACGGCAACCACGCTCACCTCGACTCTAGTTGGTGTACTCGCCGACACAACCTGTCCAACATGCGGCGTGTCGCAGGAGCACCCCGCAGAACTAACCCGCCAACGGGTCAAGGATTTGGAGGGCCAGGTGCACTTCCTGAATTCACAGACGCTCCAGATGGGTATACTACTTTTGCTCCCCAGTCACCAAGGGAA